CATGACGATTGACTTCCATCAACCACCACCCTCTGGGTCCGACCACGGAGCCAATTCCCCAGCCAGAGGATTGTGGTGGACCTGAGGCCGCAGTTGGCCAGTTTTGCCAAGAGGTGATCATGGGATACCAGATCGAAGGCTTTTTTAAAGTTGAGATATATGACATTAATCTCTTCCCCCTTGTCCAGGTGATAGGTCACCTGGTCGTGAAAGGAAATGAGATTAGTCAAGCATGACATATCCGCAACAAACCCGTGCTGGCTATCCCTCAGGATGTTGCCGTCAGTCAGTCTGTTAAAGATGGCTTCCTTGATGATTTTTTCTAAGACCTTCCCTGGGATAGAGGTCAGGCTGATGGGCCTGTAGTTTGCCAGATCCACTTTCCTCCCTTTCTTGAAGATAGGCACCACATTGGCCTTCTTCCAATCATTGGGCACTTCACCAGAGCGCCAGGAGCTCTCGAAGATCCGTGCCAGGGGCTGGGCTATGATGCTCGCCAGCTCCTTGAGTACCCTGGGGTGTAAACTGTCAGGGCCGGCTGACTTGAAGGTGTCCAGCCTCTCAAGGTGTTCCTTCATGAGGTCAGCATTGATGGAGGGCAAGGAACCACCCTCACTTAGGCGTCCCTGTCCCGTAATGGGCAGGGACGTCTCATGGGACTTGTGAAAGACCAACACAAAGTACCCAGTTAGCAAGTTGGCTTTTCCCTGGGCGTCGGTCATCAGTTCCCCCTCTTGGTTTAGCAGGGGTCCACCCTTGCTTTTCCTCCGGCTCCCCACATATCTAAAAAAGGACTTTTTATTGCCCTTGATACTTGTAGCCAGTTGGAGTTCCATCGCAGCCTTGGCTGTCCTGGTTCGCTCCCTGCAGGTCTGGACCAGTGCAGAGTATTCCTCCTTGGAGGTGGAGCCCGTCCTCCATCCTTTGTAGGTCTGTCTTTTTAGATGCAGGAGGACCGCTAGTTCCTTGTTGAGCCAAGGGGGCTGCTGTGCCCTCTTCCTGCCTTTCCTCCAAGACAGAATAGCCTTAGCTTGTGCATCGAGGATCGTTCCCTTGAGAAGTGACCACCCTTCCTGGACTCCCCTCCCTTTGGGGTCATGGTCCCTTAGGGCCTCACCGACAAGTCTCCTGAGCTTGTCAAAGTCAGCCCTCCTGAAGTCAAGGACCTCTGTACTGCTGACTGGCTTGACAGCTTTACATGGATGGTGAAGGTGATCAACTCGTGGTCGGTGTCACCCAGCTTCCCTTCGATCGTTAGGTCGCTGATTCAAAGCTCTCTGAATCTTTGGAAAAGATTCGGAGAGGTTTGATGATTTGGGCAGTCCCCAGTGGCTGCAGTAGAGAGCTGCAGCCAACTCCAAGTTGGTAAGTACTAGGGGCAGGGGAAGTGGGGGAAGGAGGAGGGGTCCATGGAGGGACCCCTGCCAGCCCTTCTGACCCCCCAGCTCCCCCAGCCCCCCCATGGCTGGCCTCGCCTGCCCCAGCTCCCAGCATTTAAAAAAAAAGCCCCGGTGCTCACCGGGTCTTGCCAGGCGGGGAGCAATCCCCACTGCCCCTCACTGCCCCATGCTGCACCTGGTGAGTTGGGACTTTTTTTTTTCCAAAGAGCCGGGAGCTGGGTTGGACAGGGCAGTTATTGCCAGGCTGGGAGAGCGGGCAGGGGATCGGCCTGGCTGATTCAGAGATTTAGCCGAATCGAATCAGGACAGCGATTCAAATCACCGAATCGAATCACTGTCCTCCGAATCGGCCGAATCCGAATCCGAAGCGAATACTAGCCGCTTCACACAGGCCTACTGCACATGTAATCCCTGGCATTAAAGGACATTAAGGTATCATCCATGTCATTCTCCATCCTAGCCTTAAGGATCCCTCCAAAGTTTCTCTAATTCCCTTTGGATTCTTGGCTAGTTTAAATAATTTGGTGCCCTGCAAATTTTGCTACCTCATTACTCACCCCCAGTTCCAGATCAGTGAACAGCAGCCTTGGAGTCTGGGGTCTGAGGCCCACACTGTTAAACTTTTGCCCTGCTGAAACTTGACTACTTGCTCTTATTCTTTACTTTCTGTCTCCAAACCAGTTTCTGATCCCTGCCAATATTTCGCCTCTTACTCAATTACTACTTAGCTTCTTTACCAGCTTCTTGTGATGGGCTTTGTCAAAGGCCTTTTGAAAGTCCAAATAAATTCTATCAACCACTTCTCCTTTCTCCGCTATTGTGCTGAAAAGTTCAAGGAATTCTAATAGAGCATTAAGAGAGAATTTTCCTTTGCATAATCTGTGCTGTTCAAATTCTGCCATATTGTCTTTTATCATTCTGTTTTGAATAACAAGCTTTAGGACTGAGGTGAACTAGCAGAGTGGTATATACAGGAGTATATATATACTAGCAGGAGTGGTATATACTAGCAGAGTGGTATTGGGGGTGGGGGTGGGGTCCAAGACTATAACAGGAGTGAGGCCGCAGGGCCAAGATTGAGATGTATTGCTAGATTCAGGAGGGACACCTCTGGCTGGTCCTTCTTTTTGCAGTGGAAGTGCATGCTCCTGAAACATGCTCTAAAGCAAGAGTTTACAGTTGTGAAGAAGCCTAATGCGTAACATGCAGTTAAAGGCTCAGACCTGCCTGTATTTGTGGGGAAGTAGACAGGGAGCAGGTCCCCAGCGGTGAAGAGTGGCGCTGATGGAGTCCAGCAGGAGTCGTGGCCAGACTTGCATGGGGGAGCCTAAATGAATGGGATGATGGAGGCAAGGGACAGTGAAAGGCCACATGGTTCTGAGCATGTTCTACATAAGGATAATGGTGGATTGACTACAGGATATAAATACCTACATGGGGAGAAGGTTGCTGATAGGGCTGGGTTCTTTAATTTACCAGACAAAGCCAAAACAGGGCCCAGTGCCTGGAAACTAAAGCTAGACCTCAGGAGTCCTGGGAGAAGCCCTTTGGCTTGTGCAGTGTAGGACGTCAGTTGGGGTGGCCTTGAAGTATGGTCTAAACTAGAGAAGTCAACCTCAGGTGCCCCAGGGTAAGAGCACCTTGGTCTGAGCAGCAGCTTTGGGGTAAAGCATCTTTGTATAAATGGCTCTTCCCTGGACACCTCTGTTTTTCCTCTTGTTCACACCACACCTCACAGCCTCCTTCCCTCCTCTTAGCTACTCATAAAGTGCTTGGGGATGAGGCTTGCCAGAGGGACACTATACAGAACTGTGTGTCAGGAGTTGGAAAACCCACAAGAGTTTTGTGTGAGGAAGCCCCTCAGCATTATTTAACCAACAGAGGTGACTGACCTGTGGGTAATTATGGAAACGGCGCTCAGCTGTCACACAGCATCTTCAGTTCCCAGTCTTCATTTGGTACCAGGATGGGGAAGCACTGTGTATGTGGCTATGTTATCTCTGCCCTCTGCTAATGGACTTGGAATTGCTCAGCTGTGCATCATAGACCCTGTATGGCAGGATTCTCCTTTAGTCCAGTGGGTGGCAGGGGTGATTTGGGGACAGGAGACTCTAGGTTCTCTCCAGATGGCTACTGTGGGCAGTAATCCTACAGTCTTGGATGTCTATGGCTGTTGTGCTGAATGCTAATTAAATTCAGTTTGGTGTGAGTTGGTGCAGCATAGGTATACCTGCAGTTAATCACTGTTCAGCATCTCCCATTGCAGGTGTGGTTTCAGAACAGACGAGCCAAGTGGAGACGGCAGGAGAAAATGGAAGCCAGTTCAATGAAACTCCATGACACCCCCATGCTGTCCTTCAATAGGCCCCCCATGACCGCCAACATTGGGCCTATGAGCAACTCCTTACCTCTGGACCCCTGGCTGACTTCCCCTATCTCTAGCGCTACCACGGTGCACAGCATTCCAGGTTTCATGGGACCTACCCAAGCCCTGCAGCCCGCCTACGCTGGCCACTCCTTCCTCAACAGCCCACCACCAATGTCTCAGACCATGCAGCCCATGGCACCCACCTCTTACCAGTGTGCCACCACCTTTGTGGACAAGTACCCTTTGGAAGACGTCGACCAGAGAAGCTCCAGCATTGCATCATTACGGATGAAAGCCAAGGAGCATATTCAGACCATTGACAAAACCTGGCAGCCTATTTGATAAATGGTCACTTCCCTTCTTCCCTGCAACTCTCCAATCTCCTACGCCTGTCACTTTGGCTGGTCTCCATTTTGGGTTGCACTGAATAGATGTTGGACACCGTGAGGCCCCAGCTGAGGAGAAGGGGGGGAAATTGCTAGGACCCTACTATGCAGCAGCTTGCCCAGCTGCTAACACACCTTCAATGCCATAGCTCAGTGCTGGGGGCAGAACCCTCCTCTCTGCCCTGCCCCGTGTTTAGAAGCCTCCTCTGGCTGAATCAGTTGGGGTCACGAACAAAGAAGCGACCATGGAGTCTAGGAAAAGGCCAAGACACCCAAGACCTGCACAAAGGAGAGAAGAATTCAAGAGCAGCTACTGTGACTATCACCTCCACAAAGCCAAGTGGACAGCACCATGCCTGTTTGAGCTTGCATTTTCTTTGTAGCTGCAGAGGACCCGTTCTTTGGCTGGAGCCATGACAATTTACAATAGCTGAGGACCTGATCCAGAGCTTCCCTTGCCCTAGCACTTGCACCAGAACAATTCTCCCAGGCTGCTAATTGCCTAGTGCGAGGTGTGAGAACAGGATTGGGCTCCATGCAGGGGTGACATTTGCTGGCCTTCCCATCTGGGAGGTCCTGTGTCTCCAGAGCCCTGCCTTTCAGGGAGCCTTGGCTTCTCGCATCAGCGAGTGGAACAAGCAGCCCTCTGTACCAATGACTGGCAATAGAAATCTGCCAGGCCCCCACAGGGACTCTTGAACTCACACAAATTGGTGAGTCCCTGTGAATTAAACCAAGAGATCTCTGGCAGCCTGTTGTAATCTCCCTGGACTGGATAGACTGTGTTTTCCCTTCCTGGATAGCTGTTCCTCAGCCCCTTTGTCTTTACGCTTACTCATTTTTTATATGTTGCAGATTTTAAAAAGATCAAAATGAAATGATCTAGTTTCCTAGAGAACAACTTTTGTTGGGGGTTTTTTACCGGTGTCAGAGAATGATGGTGGCTCTATTGAGAAATGCAATGAAAGATGGGTCTGTTCTGAGGCACGAGATAACTTCTCCAAAAAACAAAGCACGCTGTTAGGTGCAGGACCTTCCAGCACACTCTTTTTACTGCTAATACAGCAATAGTAGATGGTTTATTAGTAATAATTTAATAAGCATATTTTGTCTCAAGGTTCCTCGGTGCTCCTTACAGGCTGTGCTTAATGTAGGAATTGCTTAATTTAACCGATGACTAAAATACAGAGCTCTGGTGTGGAGAACGGTCTGACAGCAGCACTACAGCATGTTTTAAGGGAGGCAAGAGACTAAGGTTAGAGAGACAGGATATACTTGCCTGAGATGGAGTCTGCCCAGAGTGCTGGATCTGCTTTCATTATTCTTTTGAAAAATTACACCTGTTTTTTTGTGGGAACTTGTTTTACTGAAGAGTGCTCCAGGTCTGTGCTCTGAATTACAGAAATGGGAAGACAAAGCAGTTTTGCTGGGTCTTGTCCGTATTTTCCTATAGGAACTTTTGCAGCGTTCCTGAACTGAAGTGTCCCTGCCCCACAGTAGCATAAAGAAGGTGGAGTGAGTGGGGCACTTGTCTTGGCACTGATTCACGGGTGGCAGTAGCAGCTCATGCAGGGGCAGCAACAGCCCATGTACGGGGGGTAAGACTGTGGGGCTTGGCACTTGCCTCCCCAGGGCACTTGTCTTGGCACTGATTCACGGGTGGCAGTAGCAGCTCATGCAGGGGCAGCAACAGCCCATGTAAGACTGTGGGGCTTGGCACTCGCCTCCCCACCTCCCAGGGTACCAGAGGTCCTAGTTACGTCTCTGCTGCCCCCACCCATTCCCTTTGGAGACCGTTTCCACTGGGGCAGTTTTCCCTAATATTCACCTTGATTCTTACCAAATATCGGTCCATTTATGTCTTGTAGCTGGTTCCCTTTCATGACATATTGCTGGGCTCCAGGGGCCCCTGCTCCACTCTCCTCCCAGAAAGCAGTACCCAAATGAACTGTTCCCCAGGTGACGTTGCTGGATACTGATGATGTGTTTTATGGTAGTGCCCAATCTGATCCTGACTTCATGGTACTGGGTGCTGTACAGGTACATGACAAGGAAACGGGCCCTGCTCTAAGGATCTCACAATGCAAGTAGGTAGAAATTGGAGGAAGAAGGATGGAGTGGCCTCTTCAGAGTCATACAGGCAATCTCTAGGAAAAACAGGAGGTAAACTTACCTATTCTGAATCTCAGGCCAGTGCCTTCACCACAAAGGTGACCCTTGGTTCTGCTTATGAGCCTCCTGTGAGTTTGTGAGAGTGTAGGACTTAATCCAGGGTCATGCACAAATAGTACAGGTGTCCTGGGACTTTAGGGAGAATGGTCTCCTTCATTAGTTTTGCCCCCTCCTGCTTGGTGCTTTAGGCCCAAACCTTAGCAGGCTTTTGAGTAGCCTTAGGTTCAGAGGCAGTTAGATACCTTAAATTCCTTCGAGGAGTTGGCCTTAATATCTAGCCTGGCTGCAATTAGGGCGCCTGGCTGCTGACATGGCTAGGCCACCCCCGGGACTTAGCTAACCAACTGGAGTGGGTGCCCTGTCCCCCCAGCCTGTGGTCTGCTCCCATCACTCCTTTTGTCTCACTCCGTTTGCATTTTGCTCCTTAGACAGCACACATCTCACAGGGCCACTGAGCAGTGTCCCACGAGCCGGCTGCCTGCTGGGGATGAAGGCTGCCATACAGGTGTCCTGACCACTGTCCTGCTGTGCTCATCCATGGCAAAGCAACAAGGGGCTGGACAGCCCACCAGGCAGAGACCTCAGCCCCACGCATGTCTCAGGAGGGGAAGGAGCGAGCTGCAAGTCAGCAGGGACTGTTCTGCAAGGAGTAGGGGGTGGGGGACACTGTAGCCTGCAGACAGGGAGCCATAAGGACAGGGATGGGCTCAGGGTTTGCTTGTGCCCCCCGATGTGCTCATCTCTGCCCCTCCCAGTCCTCTCAGGAGGGGAAGGAGCGAGCTGCAAGTCAGCAGGGACTGTTCTGCAAGGAGTAGGGGGTGGGGGACACTGTAGCCTGCGGACAGGGAGCCATAAGGACAGGGATGGGCTCAGGGTTTGCTTGTGCCCTCGATGTGCTCATCTCTGCCCTTCCCAGTCCCCTCTTCTTCATGCTTCTCAGTTCTGCCTCTCTCCATCTGATCTCTTTCTCATTCACGTCTCCTCGTTTTTTGCTTTGCTCTTCCTCGTGCTCTTTCAACCCCACTCTTTGCTCCAAAGTCTTTCTTCCTTTCTTTCCTGCACCCCTTCTCCACCTCAGCCTATTGTGTGTCAGGACTAATTCCATATTCCGTGCATGGGTGACCTGACACAAGTTTCCAGTGAAAGTCTCTCCCAGGCCCTGGGCTGGGAGCTGGTATTGTTATATTTTTAACAGGCAGTGTCATGTCCCTTTTGCTTGTCAAGGGGAATCTGGTCTCCAATCACTCTGGAGCGGTGCAGGGGGCTCCGCCTGGGGGCTGTGCCTTTCCTAATTGCTCTCAAGCAGTGACTGCAAGGCCACATGTTGGACACACAAAGCTGCAGTAATTACATAGTTGAGAATGTGAATTTCAAAGAAACACAGATGGAGCTGCAAGGAACGGCAGCCGCCTTCCCAGAGCTCCACAATTGGGGCCAGGAAGGAGGAGGAGGAGGAGGGTGTCCAGCGGTCTGGGCTGGCCCCAGGAGGCTGGGTGAGGGCCATCCCCATTGTTTCCCTGCCAGGTTGGTGTGATTTGAGGCCTATTTTCCAGATCATTTATGATTTCCAAGGGCTCTACCCCCCTGCCACATGGCAGCTGAGTAGGAGCAGGGTGGGGAGTGAAGTAGCAACAGCAGATGCTGCACAGAGAAGACAGGAAGACCCCTAAGGCTGCTAACAGTTTTCCAAGGGGGCCTTTCCTTCCCACCCTGCCTCCCTCTGGCACAGACCCAGCATTCCCAGATGAAGGGCTGGCTCCATCTCCGTGTAGATGCACAGTCCAAGGCGGGTTGTAGTCTTGAGGAGCCTTTCCCCCTCAACCCCACAGGGTCCGGCTGCTACAGAGGTCCCACCTCACCCAGGGGTGTTGGGATGGAGTCTTACAAATGCTAATCCCAGTGCCTAGAAACCTCACCCATGGGGACTGAGCTAGGGAGAGCCCCAAGGTCGATCTACAACCAGCAGCCCCAGGACAGAAGCATCTCTGTAGTCATGAGAGCCGAGCCCTGTCTCCTCCCTGCCATGAAGACGGTATGAGCAATAGGGCTGACCCAGGCTAACGCTTATACAGGCAACAGCTGCCTCAATGGAGCTGCAGAGAGGGCAAAATAACAGGCCACTCTCCCCTGTGCCTGTCACATAGGGTGGCAAGACAGACGTGTAGTGTAGGGGGTAAGGCCAGGAGCAGCCTGTCAAAGCATGTTACCTAGAGCTGCCAGCATGGCACAGCTCCCCTCTGTCCCATTATGGGAGAAAGGCAGAGTCAGACCCTTTTCAGATAGATAGTGCTGGACCTAGGGCCACCATCTGGAGTCTGCTGGACCCTAACATAGGCCATTAACACCCCTGCTCCCAAGTGCCCTTTACAGCCATTTCCCCATCTCATTGCTCTGCATAGTCTCTGCTTCTCCAGACTGCGTATTTACTATTTGCATGCGTTACACGAGCGCCCAGAAGTCCCAAGTAGCATTAGGCTGCAAAGCCAGATGTGTCAGTCAAGTGCAGACCTCAGGCCAAGAGGTTTTTATCTTGGCCTATGTGAATAAGCTGTGTGAATAACTGATGGGCACGGGGAGGAGGTTGCTGACTGAATTGCAAAAATGTGATAAAAAGTCGTTTTGGGGTTGACCTGAAACAAAAAACTAAAAGGATTGGTTAGGGTTGAATAAACAGTCTTACTGGGGGTTGGGTTTTTTTGGTGGGGGGGGTCCTCTCTTTTTATTCTTTGATTAAATGTAGGTAAACAGAACACCATTTCCAAAGGAGAAATCAAAACGGTATGTTCCTGAAGTGTCAAAATGAAACTTTTTGACTTTTTTTTTTTCTAGCTCCTTTTAGACTAAAAACTCCATGGACTCAAGGCAAATTCACAAACTCTTGTGGCCAAGTCAAAAATACATTACTTGGCAAAAATTTGCCCGCAATAGTTTGCCCAGCTCTGGCCATAATTGAAAATCTAAAATGGCTTTGGTGGCTGTGCTGGTGGCAGCTGCAGACGCAGAACGGAGTAGCGTGACAGCCGGCTCTGGTTGTCCCCAGCTGCTCCGCAGGAGAATGCTGTCTGCATGCTAGACTGCCAGGGGTCATGTCCCATTTGAGGATTTTGCTCTTCTCCCTGCCACTTTTATTCCCTTTATTCCTTTTTACCTTTTTGCCTCTGGAAACAGGAAAATGGGAAGAAAAAAGGAGTGAAAAGGAGAAAATGGAAAAAAAGATACTCCCCCCCCCCCCCCAAAAAAAAAACCTATTGAAAAAAATGGGGGAAAGGAAAATACCTTTAAAAATCCAAGAAAAAGTCACTGTGTCCGGGGCAGCACCCATCAGAGTGGACCTTGCAGCCCAGGTTCTGGAGTGGGACTGAGCAAGAGCACCAGAGACATGGAAGAGGGTCTTTTCTGAAAAGCGGATGCTCAATTGTATTTCTCCTTCACTGAAGACTTGGATTCATTCAGGAATTTAGGCCTCAGGGGCTTGCCCATCAGTAACCCTGGGGCTCAGAGGGATTCCTGACAATCAAGCCATCCCAAGGGCCAGGGAAACGAGTCCTGGTCACGAGCTCTGGGGACTGCCTATAATCAAAGGAGCTGCCCCAGGTCCTGGGCCAGGCTTTGATGGGTAGGGCTGGAAGAGCCCTAATCCCATGAAACTAGACTCCTTTCCCCCTTGTTCCTAGCCGTTAGTTTCTTCTGGATTCAGGCCCACCCGTTAATGACAATTAAACCTCTAATGACCAATTAAAAGCAGAATCAATTCTTCCCCTGCAGCCTGGCCTAGCTAATGGGACCAGGTTTCGATTAACAGCCCCGTCAAGAGGCGCACTCCTGAGCAGAGATAATGAAGCAATGGCAGTGGAACTAATGGGGTTTGATCTTGGGGATGGGCTTCTCTGAATGGGGGCTGCTGTTTCACATGACATAATTGGAGAGGCCTATCCCACTGGCGCCGGCTCCACAGCTCTTGTGAGGGCAACCAGCGGAACCAGGACCCTTTCCCGGCATGGCTTGCCGCAGCCTTTCGAGTCCCAACAAAGGACGGCTGGCCAGGAGAGATGGGAGTGGAGGGCACCATTCCCGCCAAGCCTTCCAGCTGGATCCTCCAGTCCCATCTTCCCCCTTAATTGCCCCCTTGACCGGACTCACCAGCTCAGAAAGGCAAACTCACCGCTTGTTCCCACAAAGGGCTGTGGGAAGATGCTAAGTAAATCCCCTTGCTCTTCACTGGCTCTCTTGGTGGAAAGAGGCCGGGCACGAAGCACAGCAGTTCTGGGGCTGCTCTGCCCAGCCATATTTCTACCAGAGCTGGCTGCGCGAGCTGAAGGCAAATGACTCCATGCTGGTGCTTTACACATAGCTGCCCCAATAACTTTGCTATTCCAGATGTAACCACTTATTTGTGTTGTTTAAAGGAGCTGAGTTGCATATTACCAGCTCAAAAGCAAAATGGCACATGGCTTGAGTGCCATTGCACGAGGCAGGACTGTGTGGCAATGGTGGGGAGAGAGGACCCAGAGAAGCCACAGCCACGTGAACCGCACTGGCCTCCCCCTGCCCCACCCCGGGACATGACCTGCCCTTCACAGCCATCCTTCCTCTGCACGTGAGCCAGTGGAAACAAAAGAGCCTTAAACTAGGACTTGTTGTATAGTCCTACATGGGATGCAGCTCTGGGGGTTTATTTGGGCCAGAGGCACAGCAAGCTCTTCCAATGCCAGGGGGCAGGGGGAAGGATTAGGTTGACCACGGGAAAGCAGAGGAGAGAGGAAGAGGAGTCTTACCTGCTGGGGCTCTCCTCCTGCTGCTGCCATAGCACCCTGGGCTGGGGCTGCTGCCACTGAGGGACCAGCAGCAGCATGGCCTCCTTGTGGGGCTCCTGGTGCCATTTGTCCCCCCACCCCTGGGGGCAGGGTTATGCCTCTCATGGCAAAGCCTTCAGGAGGAGTGTCATTCCACCTCGCCTCCCTGGAGAGATGCAGCCTAGCTCCTATGGCTGGGCTGCACCCGCTGTGGCCAACTTATGGGGGGAAGAGCACCAGACTGGTGCCCCCTCTAAGTCAGTGTCCAGAGCTGGTGCCCCACTTGCTCCACCCTAACAATGCTACTGATCTGGACCCCGTGCTATAGCTTTCCAGGGGCTCTTAGCTATTTCAGGTCACAGCGAATGTTCCTGTGCAGCTAGCTACTTATCTACTAGAGCAGATCAGACATTTTCCAGCTGGGGGAAAATCTCTCTTCCCTCACTCTGTCCTTGTTGGGGGGGGAAGCTGATAAAATACAATGGAAAACTTTGAAACAACTGAAAACACTTATTGTTCAACTCTGCTCCCTTTTTTTTTTTCCCAGCCACTGTCCTTTGCAGCTCTTGCTTGCCCCATTCCCTGTCCCTCCCAAGAGGTGACCCACCGCGCTGAGGGCTCCTGGCATCCCAGCAGCGGTGGGGGCAGCAGGGCTGGGCTCTGTGAGCAGCGGAGCTCTAATGCTTCTCCAGGTCTTGGGGTCTTGGCTTTTGGTTCACTCATGAAAACCACATGGAGGCACTTCCCTCCAGCCCCAGAGCAGCCTCATTTTTCTGCCCTGGCTCCCTGTAATCCACCCGCTTTGGAATCACCCTCTAATCTGATTATTGCTCTCCATTTCCGCTGTGCCCGAATTAACCTGATTGCAACAACAGCAACACCTTGTGGGCAGCTGATCTCGGCAGCAGACGGGCCTTCGAACAGAGCTGCTGGGATGAACTGCATCCTGCAAGCCATCAGGGGCTTGGCAGCACACAACCTGCAGGGCCACTTTTCCTCCCAGCAACTCCCATGGCCGGGGCTGTCAGTGCCTGCAGAGGAGAGGTTGCTGGCTGGCAGCGGGCGGTGCTGAAAAGGCAGGGCTTGCTGGCACCAGGTACAGCAGGCTGGGAGGCTGGTGTGGGCAGGTGTAGGGCTGGCTGGTGGCAGGATCTCAGTGGCATTCAGTCCTCAGGGCGGGCGGGGATGGAGGAGCCAGCACCCTCTGTCCTGCTTTGTCCCTGTAATCTTCCTGCCGATTTGGGGTATGCTCATATTTGCATGACTGTAACAGCTTGGTTTCCTCCTGCCCAGCTGCCAAGGACACTGCAGCCTCCTTAATGCTCTTGCCTAAGTCCCTGAGTGTCTGGAAGTAGATTTATGTTCCTTAGCTGCAGCAACAGCTCTGACACGGACCCCACTGTGGCTTTCAGGGCATCCCAGGATACACTGGGCCCACAGAGCTGATTAAAGGGCTCGTTCCCCTTGGAGACTTCCCTTTGCTCTGGTCCTGTGAGTATCACGGTTAGAGAGCATGACACTGGTGCAGCGTAGCACCAATGTGTTGTTGTATCAGGTGGGGAGATGGAGCAGTGTTTTATCATCCCCTGGGTGGTTCAGACAAGTACCAGAGAGGCAACATTACCCTGACCTAGCAGGGGGAAGTCTTCCTTAATGGGGAGTCCTGGACCTGGGCCTGCCAGCCAAGAGGATGACTGCCCAGCAGGCAAGCAGCCCTGACAGGGGCAGTAGTATGGTCACTGCCCTCCAGAGCTGCTGAAAGTCTTAGGGCACATAACTCATTGGATGAAAAATGCAGTTTGGGGGCAAAGCCAGCCCTGGCCTGATATAGATTTGGGACCAGTTTTTAAAGAGAGATGGGGAAAAGTCCCAAAGCTTCATTTCAGCATTTCTGCAATGGAAGGTTTTCAGTCATTTGTTTTAAAGGAACGGCCTTAACTGAATCAAAAAAGGGCTAAAATTGACTAAAACCCCCAGTATGACATTTTTTGGTGACACCGACCCCCATTTCTATTTTTTGGCCAGCCCTCACCACACAGCCCTGCTACCCACAGCAGGGGGACCTCAAGCTAGACACTTAGAGGGGAAGCGCTCTGGGCCCTGGTTCCAGTCTACTCAGCCAGTGTTTCCCAACTTTTTCCAGCCAAGGCACACTTACATTAATAAAAATTTTCTGCAGCACACCTGTTAAGGCATTCGCCATCCTTATACCTATGGTAGCTTATTGCCAGGGCAAAGTCCTGCGGCACGCCTGTTCATTTCTGATGGCACACTGGTTGGGAAACATTGCCCTAAGCTATGCAGGCCCCTGTCATTCCCACGCAGAAGGCCCAGGGTTATTTTATAGCAGGTTGTACCTTTATTTTCTCTATGAGCCACATGCAGCTCCCTGTGACCTCCATACAGAGGAGCCTGTATGGGGAATGCTGTTACAGACACAGCTTTCTCTCCTTAACACCCTGCGTGGGCCACCAGAAAGTCCTGGGCATGAGGCAGGGTGCAGTTCTCTGGCCTGTGCCAGGTAGGAGGTCAACCTACATGGTCACTGCCAGGCTTTCCAGTCCTCAGACTAACAAATCCAGAGGCTCCTTTTTCGGGTGGCTCCATGGTTGTGCCAATGGCAGATCTGCCTGAGCAAGAGGTTCCATGGTTGTGCCAATGGCAGATCTGCCTGAAAAAGAGGGTTTTAAGACCCAGATAGATAAAATCATGGCTGGGATGATCTAGTTGGAGATGGTCCTACTTTGAGCAGGGGGGTTGAACTTGATGTCCTCCTGAGGTCCCTTCCAATCCTCATTTTCTATGAAGAGGCCCAGGGCCTGGCTCTGTTCTGATGTTCAGGAGAAGGATCCAGCGTGTAGCTCTGTCCTCACTTAGATGAGAGGCTGAGGTGATGCTTTGGCCAAATGGCAAGGTCTACACGGAATTAGAGGCTGGGAACTCAGGACTCAGGTTCTCCTCGGGGGTGTTCACCCACTGGGTATCATCGCCACACCAGCTGCCAACGCGGGAGCCAGAAGGGAGACTCCTGCAGGCATCAGAAGCAGCCGGCGACTGTGAGGTCTCCCCAATGCTTTGGAAAGAGCCAGTAAAGACATCTGCACACACATCCATGCCAACCAGTGGAGAGTGGGCACTTGCAAAGCCCCCTGGCCCATCACTGACACAGAGGTTGAGCTTTGCAATCAGTGGCTTCCCAATATTTACTGACTGGCTCTCCTCAATAAAGTCATCAATTCCTCGGTATTGGTACTGCAGGCAAATGGTGAAGGTCAGTTCCTTCTGCAAGAGCACCAAGAGCAGTGGTTAGTGTCCAGGAACATGATAAGAAGTGCAACAGCTTTCATCGCCAGATGCACATTGCCTACTGTCCTCCCAAAACCATTCTCCCCAGCAATGCTGCCTGGAGCGTCTGCCTCCAGCCATGCAGTATTAACACCATCCCAGAGAGTCCTATGGAGAAGGCACAGGACGCTAGGCCCTGGCTTGGCCACAGACCCGGGGTGTTCCTGGGCCAAAGCACAGCCTAGACATGTTGAATCTGTAGTGACTAGGTGAGAAGGGATGAGCACCTCCTGACATGGTGCTTCTGACCCCTGGATCAAAACCCTGATGCCCAGGAGGCAGCCGAGACACCGGGGTTCGCATTGTCCCTCCTTCAGTTCATGCTGTCTTTTGGCCTTGCAGTGATGGCAGAATGACATCACGACAACACTTACTTTCAGCTTCTGCAGGCCACAGAGCCGGCTGTAGAGGCAGCAGTCTGGGAAGTGGGTGCTTGAGGCCTGGGAGAGAGTGCTCCCCATCTCCTCTGGGCTCTCCTTGTTGGTGAACTTCAAATCCACATCCAGCTCCTATCACAGACAGCATGGTCAGTGGTTGGGGTGGGGAAGGCTACCTCCAGGGCACAGCCCAGCATAGCCAAGCCTGAGGGAGTCTGCACTGCAGCTCTGCCCACCCAGGGTTCAGGAATCAAACCTCCCAAAATCATGGGGGGTGATTCATATCTGGGACCTGCCTCTTTGTCTCCTGCTGTTAGAGCCATTGATGTCACACTCTCCCATAGTGGGGGATAGGCTGAACCTGGCTGGGTTTAGTGAGTTTAACCAATATCATTTGGCATAGCTGGGGGAGATGATTAACCTCTTTTGTGGAAGCAGGTGGATGAAAGAAAACAGACCCCAAGCCAAAAACACAAGGCTTTTGCTTCCTCCAAACAGAGGAGGAGGAAGAGGAGTTTGCTGAGTATTGTTTGAAGACAGGGAGTGTAGGAGAGACAGCCCTGGCGGAGATGTACAAACTGGTCCATAGCAGAAGAGGAGCCCGGGCAGGCGGCACGGTGCAGAACCATCCCATGCTGCCAAGGCAGTAGCTGGGAGTTGTACCTGCTCTGCCAGGACCGGCTGGTTCCAGCACTGGGGCTAATGGAAGGGGAAATGTCTTTGCTCGAATCCTCCCGCCACTCTCCAGACTGGTGGGATCTCACCAGTCCACTCCAGAGAGGGGCTGAGTGAGACAACAGCTGTGACCAGCCAAAGCAGTGATTCCCAGCCAGGGTGTTGCAGCAGCTCGGGATGCCGTGAAATCCTTTTGAGGGTGCTGCACAGTATTAGCACTGTTAGGTGTGCAAACACCTGCACAACTGATAAGATAAACCCAGAGATTTCAAAAAGTGTCCAAACCACTCCGACTCCCTGTGTGGTAGGACAGAAGAATTGCTCTATTATGTTTCCATAGACAAAACATGAGTGAAAGCTAAGAGCTGGTATTTTCCTGGGGGGCCCTTGAGTCTAACAAGGGGGATCCTTAGGTCTAAAAAGATTGAGAAGCCCTGAGCTAAAGCTTCCCTAACAAGGGAAGGCAGGTTTTGCTGCCTGGGTCCACTCTACCCATCTGTACCAACAGGAAACGTGCCTCAGTGGGAACAGGCCTAGGCTTGGGCCAGTGCTTGCACAGAGCTCAAGGGCCCCTATTGCTCCCAGAGAGCTGAAAGCCAACCCTACGCTTATCCAGAGCCAGCTCTCTGGGCTAACCAGGGTCTCTCACCTCCGGGATGTCCGTAAGCTTTGCCTCACACCTCGTGATCTCTTTTGGTGTCACCACTATGTGCGTGTAGATGATCAAGATGTTGGAGAACTCAGCGGCAAAGCCCAGCTGGACTCGGACCCCACAGTCAAACTGGAGGTATCGGCTTTCTGGGAGGACTGCGAACAAAAGGGAGCGATGCTCACACAGGGGGTCACACCTGCCACCTACTGGACTCAGAACTACTCACAGGCTCTCATGGCCTTGTCCTACTAAGCTGGTTCCTGGGGATGCTCCTGCAGCTCGTGGGCTGGGGCCGCATTTCCAAAGCAGAAGAGTGCTTAGTCTTGTAGGTGCAAGACTCTGCTTTGCTGCACCCATTTGCCTTCCTAGTAGCACCGGCTCTTAACGGGGCTGGGCAGAGCAGGAAACCTAGCTGTGGAGGCCTCTTCTGGCTCACACCAGTCCCTGGGGACTCTCCTACTAGTGTCTAGCATGACCCCAAGCAAGCCAACCTCCCACTCCTCTCCAAGGGCCTTGCCTAGGTGCTCTGGCTCAAGGACAGGCCTCTCAGTGTCTGCTTCTGCCCCCTCCCACTTCGGAGGAGCCCAGACACTCACCATGAGCCTTGACCCATTGCAAGTTCCTAACAGAGACTTCCTCCGGGCCCTCAGATGGCTTAATTGGATCGGTGAGGGCTCGTCTCTCACACAAGTTGCTCCGTAGCTCCAGTGCCTGCCTGCCCCTGGTGATCTCTAAGGTTCCCATGTCTGAAAGACACAAGCAAGGTTGGGGAAACGCCTCCGGCATGGCAGGGAGTCCAGGATCTGTGGGGAACCATGAGCTGTGCTGCGCTGGCCTTCCAGATGAACTCACCTTCAGCCACCTTGTCTAGCAGCACTGTGATCTTCTCATCCTCCAGCAGCCACCTCTTCAGGAAGCTGACAAAGATCCCATTGGAGAGCTCTCCCTGGCTGAGCTCATAGGCCTCTGCATCAGCACATCTAGGAGAGGGTACCCAAGGAGGCTAAAGCCACTGGGACTCCATCAGTGGGTTGAACCTTCTTGACTCCTGACTGCTGCCTTCCTTGGCCCTTTCCTTTAGAGGTTTGCAGCAAAGATAACGCTGGGACTTTTCTCCTTTCTCAACCTTAGCGAGACCTGGGAAAGCTTCTGCTGCAGGAGGAAGGATCAGGCTCCCAATGGCAGAAAGCAGCCTGGAGCCGTCTCATACTGGGGAGAGACCCAAGCCCAGAACCCCTGGTAGTTCAGGTTTGGGTCTGGCTTGGTCCTTCCATGACAGCCAAATAGCTGAGATCAGCTGAGAATTTGGGTTGGGTCCTGCTGTGTTTTAAGCCTGAAGTTTTCAAAGGGAGTTTAGAGCCTAACCCCCTTCTCTTCCAATGGGACTAGGTGCCCAGCACCCTTGGGCTTCTTGCAGAAGCCCAGCCCGAGGCTTTCTTTTCTCCCCTAGGCCTGTTTGGGGTGGAATTCTTTCTACTCTTCTTCTGCTTTGGCCTTCTCGTTGTACAGGTCCCTCCCGTGCGGCCTCCGCAGGGCTGACGGCACAGAGACCTTCAGAGCAGCCTGTTCTCAGCTGTGCTGCCCCTGGGAGAGAAGCAGGTGGCAGCCCCATGGCATCTTGCTGGTTCAAGGGAGGGTGGAAGGGGCTTTGGCTTGGGATAAGAAAGCTGAACCAATATAAATAGCTCCAGCAGCTGGAGGGGACACACAGAATAGAGCAGCACTTTTCAAACTGTGTTCTGTGGCCACCGGTGGTCTGCAAACCCAAGGTGAGCGGTCCACAGATCGTACGGGCCCTCTGAGCCTTGTTTCCAGCTTGGGGACAGGGTTGCAGGACGGGCCGGAGAAAATCTGAGGGCTGACAGCAGTTGCTTGGATGGAGCCCAGGACTGGGAGGCAGGGCTTTGGGGCCTCTGTCCACCTCTGCATGGGATGTCCATGTAGCCTCCAGAATGCCAGCTCATCTGGCCAGGCCTCAGCTCCCCTCCTCCACCACCTCCAAAAGGTGGGGACCTCAGGCCCCAGTAACAGGCACCACACCAGGCCCTGATCAACCCCCTGGCTCTGTACATGCCCATCCTACTCTGCAACTGCAGGACACTGAAGAGCGAGCCGGGGCAGTGAGTGTCCCCGCGGGCAGCAGGAGGCACCAGCCGATACGTACGTGGCATAGCCAAACACAATGTTGGCCGTGACCTGCAGCGCTCCCACCTGCGGGATGATGTCGTCATTCAGGTTCCTGGGGGGAAATGGAAGCAGCATGAAACATCCCCGCAGTTCCCAGTGCAGCGCCCGTTGCCATAATAAGGGGCCTCTATTTGAACTGGTGCCCCTGGATCTCTATCAAGAGCATTGGCTTTGCGGCTGCTGCCAGCTGCCTGAGCAATGTGGGGAGGGAGGCGGGTTCGTTTGGAAGCTGACTGGTGTCACCATCAAATGTCCCTCTAACACCTCTCACTCCAGCCTGCAGATTCCCTGGCATTTGTTACACCCAAACCAGCGCTGTCCTGGGTCCTCTGGGCCGGGGGAAAAGGGGCTGTGACCCAAACCGGAAGGACCCATTCCTCACTCTGCAGCATCCATGTAAGGATACACCTCCCTGTGCACATCTCCCTGCATCCACATGTTTACAGCAGTACATGCTTGCCATGTGAGAGCATCAGCCTGCCCCCACCTCCTCCCCAAGGGCAGAGACCCCCGGCCGCTGCCTGCTCGCTGGCTCCGGTGCCCGCTCACCTCTTGCGGCACATGTCCAGCAGGAAAATGTTGAGGCCAGTTTGCCGCTGCTGCATGCTCTGCAGCACACTCTGCACGCACAGGCAGTGCTCCGACGTGTAGGATCCCGGCGCATCGATAGGCACCATGAAGCTGTTCCCAAAGTTCTCGTAGCCATGGCCGGCGTAGTAGAGCAAGCCTGGAGGAGGGGGAGCACATCACATCACATCAGGAAGAGCTCTCCCAGCTGCTGTCTTAATCTCTGACTCTCCTCCCTGCTGTCCCCATGTCCATCCGGCTGCCTGCAGGGAACTCTGGCAGCCTGCTGTGCCCAGTATGTAAAGTCAGAAATCCAGCTCAAATTCTCTTTTCCTCATTCTCAGCCTTGCTCCTGTCTGACCTAAGCCCTCATGCACACTGTTCACCTGCGCTGGTCACTTGGGGCTGCCGCTCCCTCCCCTCCTGCATGCACTGGCACCCTTTGGTTGCACATGCTGCAAAATGAGAAGCACACGGAGGACTTGTCGCAGCCCTTCTGCTGCTAGGATCTTCTTCCTGGATCCGTGCCCTGACTACACCACCCCAATGGCTCCTTCTCTTTCAGTGCCCCAGTGCAGACTTGGCCCTTTGTTTCCATTTAGCCCAGACCTACTGATCCAGCCTGTCTTCCCAAGGCCATCCCCTCCCTTTGTTCAGCCCACGTGCAGCCTCCAGGCTCCCATTTTCTGCTTCTCCCTCAGACACTTCCCTGTACCCTCATGTTACCTGGGAGAAAAGCTCCCTGTCACAGTCTGAAAGCCACCTCCTTGCCCATCCTCAAGTTCCCACGCTGTGGCAGTTTCCTGTAGGCACCCCAGTAACAGGAAGAGGAGCTATGACCACTGCTCTGGCCAAACTAAGGGCTTGGATAGATATGATTATACCTGTGTAATAGTATTTCACTAGTATAAAATGTAGTGGACAGACAACACTAGCCCCTAAACCAGGGGCGGGCAATTATTTTGGGCAGAGGGCCGCTAACTGAGTTTTGGCAAGCCATTGAGGGCCACATGACAGGCAGCTAGGGGCAGAAAAATATTAATTTTCTAAATTTTTTAGGGACCCCACGGGCCGGATAGAATGGCCTGGTGGGCCGCATCCAGCCCGCAGGTTGCATTTTGCCCACCCCTGCCCTAAACCATGGCAGCTTTGCTCAAGTTAATGTGGAATTACCCCCAAAAGGGTTGTGATAAAACTCTACTGATGTAAATTATACTGGTTTAGGTTTGTCTCTCCACAACCATGCGGAGGTAGCTGTTTGCTTAGGGCAAACAAGCTATCACCTGTTTCCTCACCCTTGACTGGTGAGGAGCAGTTTTAGCTGCTTATTGCATGAACTCTGAGTACCTGCAGGTCTGTCTGTTCCTAATCCCAGTGTAATTTATATCATCTCTGTGTTCATCCATTCCCTAAGAAATATGCATTTCCTATTATTTTTATTACCCTGTTACTTCACAACACACACACACACTCCTCACTGGAAGAACTTGCAAGGAACCTGCAGGTTGGAACAGGAGTAATAGGAGGGATAGTTTGGAGAGTGACACTATTGCTTGGGGACTGTGCAGACAGATGTGAGCACCTATTGTGGCCGCAAACAATGTTTTTAATAAAGATTCAGTTGCTAGAGTCCGAATGGAGTCCCTTGATTATTGCACAGGGCTCTGTGCATGAAACATGGTGTCAGCACCTGAGAACAACAGCAAAGAGAGCAAAGTGTGTATGATTCAAAGCATCACTTATGCAGCAAAGAGAGCAGGCAGCATGGAGGGGCTCAGACCCCCTGTGCATTTGGATTTTCAGTCAAAATACCTAGCTGTAGCATGGAAATATTGCATCATTGGGATAAAGGGCAGAAAAGTGAGTGCACCATTTTTCCTGGAAGGGCCCAATGCATTAAAGCAGCTGAGGAAGGCTTTTGATGAGAAAAAGTGAAACTGGAAACATACTGCTTTTTTACCCAGAATCGGGATCTAGAAGAAGGAATAGATAATTATATTACAGAACTGAGAACACTGGCATCCACGTGTCATTTTGGGAACATAACAGTTTCCCTTATTGGAGACAGAATTAGTTGTGGGACATCTGATCCTAAGCTAAGGCAGAGATTGCTGAGAGAGGCAGATCTGACTCTGGAGAAATGCCTTGAAATATCAAGAGCAGGTGAAATATCTAAAAACAGAAGCAAAACAATAACTGGTGCAGACTCAAGATATGGGGTCAATTTAAGGGAACCCAAGAGATGCAACAAAGATAGGCCAACTGAGAATGCAGTGCTAGGCTCCAGTAATGGTACTGTGGAAAGCAGCATGAAAGACAGAAAGTGCAATACCCAGATTATGAGCAAAGATGCCTGAGCTGTGGGAAACAGCCTTTTTGTGTCTTGGTGTCTCCACAGTCCTGGGAGAAATAAAGCAACAATACACTCAACAGTAAAGGAGACTGAGATTTTTTATAAAGCAGATGAGTGACTTTAGCTGATCCAACTACTCTGAATATACATGCCCTACAGAAGAAAGCTACTACACAGCCATCTGCCATATTTGCAGCTATTTTAGTGGAGCAGCAACCAGTCAGATGCTGGTAAACTGCTCAGCAGTTGTATCAGAATGGAGAAATGAGAGGAAATACTGATGGTATACAATGAAACAACAATACAACCAGTGGGTATATTCAGACTTTCAATACAACATCCATGAAGCAGAAAACAATATCACCTGGCATTCATAGTGGTTGACACTGAAGAGATCCATCACTGTTTCGCTGTTAGACAGCCAAGCAGTGCAAGCTGTGGACCTGATCTCAGTGGAGCACCACACTATCATCCACACGAGGAGGGAGAAAACCCAGCATGGTCCTTCTCAGGTATTTTAAGACTTCAAAGATGTATTTGGCAGACAAGGTTCTTCGGGTAAATCTGATATCTTTTATTAGACCAACTCAAATAGTTGTAAAAATTCTTCTTTGCAAGCTTTCAGGTACAAATACCCTTTGTCAGACTGAGGAAGCATCTGCAGTTGGTTTGTGCTCTTCCAGGATGGTTTTGAGGAAGATGTATTTGAGGAAAACGAGCACTAGGGGTAAGCTCAAGTTAGAAATAAACCCACACGTACAGCCTGTACAACTGCTGAAACAGAGTACCGCTAACTCTGGTGGAGCCACTCAAACAGCCTAATAAGCCTAACAAGAAGAGGTATGATTAAACCAATGGAAATTATTAGCACCAACTGGGTCAGCAGCCAGGTCATGGTAAGACCATCTGATGGACTGAGGATCTATATAGATGCAAAACCTCTTAAAAGGGTATTGGAAAGAAGTCATCAATTTTTCACTCTTGAGGACATCCTGCTTGAAATATTGGGGGCAGAAATATTCACAGGCTCTGCTGTGAAAAATGCATTCTAGCATATCAAGCTAGATGAGCCTTCAAGCCACTTGACAACATTGCAGTGCTCTTTAGCAGATGCCACTGGGTACAAATGCCTACAGGCATCAGTTCTGCTTTAGAGGTGTTCCAGGGATCAGGATTGTAGTAGATGACATCTTGGTGTGGGAGATAGAAACAGTGAGTCCAGGACCACGGTGCTAAGCTGTGATGGCTCCTAAACAGGTCTGAAGAGCAGGATATTAAGTTGAACTCAGAAAACTGAAGCTGAGGAACATGGAGATCCCCTACATTGGACACCTGTATTAGATACTTTCTGACCTCAGCAGAACTCCGGCCTGACCCTGATAAATTGAGAGCCAGTAAGAAAATGCCCAGACCACAAGATGTGAAGGGAATCCAGAAATGTATAGGTATAGCTAACTATCTTTCCAGATTCTGTGCTCACCTGTCAGAGGCTTGCAACTCTTTGAGACAGCTGGTACCACGAAACATGAGCAGGCATTTAAAATAAAAAAAAGTCCTAAGTGAGGCACCAGTCTTGAAGTGCTACAACCCACAGAGCAACAGCAACTGCAGTGTGATGCCTCCGAAAAAGGCCTAAGAGGAGTATTAATGCAGAACCAGCAACTCATGGCATTTGCCAGCCGGGCCCTGACAGATACAGGAAGAGGTTGTGCTCAGATAGAAAAGGAGCTCCTGCTGTGCTCTTTGGACAGAAGATGGCTGGATCACAAGCCACTGGAAGTCATTATGAAGCCACTCCTGAATGCACCAAAGCAACTGCAACCCATGCTACTGAGACTTCAGGGCTATGATGTGAGCATTAGGTACTGTCCAGGGAAGCCACTGCTCGTGGCAGATACTCTGAGCAGGACCTACCTTCCAGAGTATGCCACACGTGGCTCTGAGGAACAGGAGACTGAATCAATGTGCTACAATACCTCTGTATCTCCAAAGGAAGTCTCCACACAACATGTGAGAGTGCCGAATGGGATGGATGGTACAGATTGTGGTAAGAATCATACCCTAGGAACGGCAAGATCTCAAGGAACAAGTACCCCAGGAATTCATTCCTTACTGGCAGGCTAGGGATGAGCTATGGGCACAAGATGGAATCTTATTTAAAGGAGACAGAGCTGTAATCCCTGCCAGTTTGAGACAGGATGTTATGAAAAGAGTCCATGCTTCACACCTGGAAATAGAAGCATGCCTGCAGCAAGCTCGGGAATGTCTACTAGTCAGGTAGACAAGGTTCTTTGGGTAGATGTAATATCTTTTATTAGACCAACTAAATCAGGGGTGAGCAAAATGCAGCCCAGGGGCTGGATGCGGCCTGCCAGGCCATTCTATCTGGCCCGTGGGGCTTCTAAAAAATTTAGAAAATTAATATTAATCTGCCCTGGGCTGCCTGTCATACAGCCCTCGATGGCTTGCCAAAACTCAGTAAGCAGCCCTCTGCCCAAAATAATTGCCCACCCCTGAACTAAATAGTTGGAAAAACTGTTCTTTCAAGCTTTCAGGCACAAACACCCTTCTTCAGGCATAGGGAGAGTTTGCCTATGTCCTTAGACCAACACGGCTACAACCAACAACCCGACTAGCCAGGTATGCATTCCCAGGTGAGGACATACATAGAGCACTGTGAGCTGTGCAAAGAGCATGGAGACAGGTAACAGAAGGAGGTGCTGCAGGGTCATGAGATCCCAACATGACTTTGGGAAAAGGTCGGGGCAGATTTGTTTGTGTTCGGTGACAGAATCATGGTCACAGTAGGTTCCTACCCCAGCGTTTGGGAGGTGGGCTGTCTAGAGGGCACTCAGATGAGAACAGTAGGTGCAGGTATATTTTGCCAGATAAGGCACACCCAGTATCATGTGTTCAGACAGTGGGCCACCCTATACAGCAGAGGAATTCAAAAGATTTGGCACAAAATGGGAATTCAAGCACAAGACTTCTTCCCCAAGGTACAAAGGAAGGCAGAATGAACTGTCAAGACAGCCAAAAGACTCTCAGAAGGGCAAATGGACTGGATATGATCCTTATTTGGCTTTGTTGGACCATTGCAGTGCCATCTCTTGGACTTGATGGAAGAAGTGCTAGACACTGATGGAAAAAGCTGGACCAAGAAAGGGACCTAAGGCATCTGCCCTAGGGCTAGTATCAGCACAACTGCACCATCTTGAGGGACTATTGTTCTCATGCCCCTAATGATCTCCTCTGCCCAGTGAAGATCAGGCCTTGGTGCTCACAGACAGATGGTGCTTACCACAGCGTCTGATGAAGTGAGATCAAGGTTGAAAAACTTGTGTTCTATGTTTATTTTTGAGTTAGTTTATAAGGTGAATATCTACCCTGCCTACTGCCTGACCGCAGACTAATGTGGTAACTACTTCTCTCTTCTCATCATTTTGCCATTGCTAGATAGACCAAAGTCCTGACCTGCACTTAGAAGTTTGGTCTGTGCAACCAGGTCAGATCTCCTTTCTGCATCATGAGCACAGGCCTTAGTGAAGATAGTGTTATAGTGTTAGAAATGTCCCTTTGAGCAGCTGATCCTATTTGGTGAGTAGATCTAGGATGCAGCAGCCAAGAGCTCTTGCCAGCATAAGTAACATCTCCACTAGGTGGTTTGCCAGAATAGCTGTCAGTACCAGCAAACCCATGCTTGTACTGAGAAAGCCTCACTTCCTTCCAAGAAGCGTGCGCTGGCAATAGGTAGCAATCAAATATTCAAATATAACATGATTGCTCATTGATACATCAGTGTGTTCTAAATATTATGCATGCCTCCTCCCCTGCCCTCCCCCATCCCCAAGCCATGCTACAGCTTGCTCATCCTGTTGGGAGACAGGAGGAGACAGCCTTGGCCAGCACAGACCACCCTGCAATCATCCTAGATGTCCCCACCTCCTTGTATATTTACATAAAGCACCTCTGGTGTTATGGCAAACCAGGGGTTAACCCTCCCAGTCCCAGGGGAAATGGGTGCTCCCCTTGTACCGTATACGCCCTTGTCCAGGAGGAGGAGGAATTCGTTGACAGCCATCTGCATCTCGGCCTTGCTGAGGTCCAACAGGGAGACTACCTTGAAGTTCAGCTGGCGGAGCAGGTTGGTCAACTCATGCACGTCCACCATGGGGGCTTTCAGGTGCTTGTGATGCAGGTAGGTCATGTTCCCTATCAGCAGGGCCACTTTGTCTGTGGCTGCCAGAAAACAGAACATGATTGTGGGAAGGAGCAGGGGACCTCACTGAGCCCTTGGGGTGAACATTCACCCTCTCCCATCCCTGCTATCTGACCTTCTTCCCTTAGCAGCCACCCACCCAGCAGTGGATGGGGCCCCTGCAACAGCCATGGCCAAGGACATGAGGCCTTACAGGAACCAGAGGTTAGCTTTGAGCCTTGCCCCTTATCCCAGGTCAAGGCAGAGCCCTGCATCTAGCCAAGAAGAAGAACAAAGGGCATCTCCCAAAAGGTCACCCTCTGCCTGAGCAGCCAGCACGTGGTCCTCACTGCCTCCTGTAGTCAGTGACACACAACGCCTAGCCCAGGCTACATGTAGTGTCAGCCCATCAGGGGCAAGAGGGCAGGCTGCAAGTTGTAGTAAGCTGGGGCAGGACAGAGCCTGAGAAACACACTTCAGGTCAGGGCTAGATCCTACTTCTCTCTCTCTCACATTCACCCCAGCTCTGTGCTCAGCAGCTCGGGACACTGTAGGTGGGAGGAAGGGGAAGAGCCCATATGAGGATGCATGACCAGACCTAGTGTCTTTCCGAACACAGCCCTGGTGAGGCAGTGGCTGGCGGGGCATCGAGCATGTCTGCCAGAGGCTGGATGTAGGAGGCAAGGGAAAGGGCTTAAAGCTGTGTTTCTTGAGTCATGCCTAGGTAGAGGTCTCATGTAAGGTTTTGCATGGAACTGCTTACCATACAGCTGGCTGTGGCCACTCTGCTCTGGGACAGTCCCTGGAAAGCATGAGAAACATGGTTAGTGGGCTGAGCTCCAACGATAATACAACCACAGGGGCACCACAGCTTGACTGCATCAGCACACTTGACCTTGGGAAGGGATCTGCAGAGACCCCACTCCCAGCCAAGAAACCCCTAAGAAACCAGGGCAGGCAGAGCCCTATTGCCAAAGCTGCCCACCACAATAGTATCCAGGTAGGTTGCTACTGGAGTTACCCAGGCCAGCAAGGCTGGTTCCAGGATCCCCTAATGCCTGGCCCATCAGAGGCTCAGAAGCAGCCTGTTCCACTACTGCCTTCGAGGGCCATATCCATGGATAAGTGCAGAAGGCAACCTGAGGAGGAGATCCTGGTCTGAGCCAGGCCTCTCCACCATCAGATTGCCTGTATGGAGAGGACGGGCAAGGTGTACCAGTGTGTGGATGCATGCACTACTAGTTCAGCTCCTTGTCTTTCTTGCAAACTCCTGCCAAGGTGGCATACACATGAACACAACATCTCAGGTGCTTTGAGACCAAAGCATAGCAGCAGCTGTCACCAGGTCTGTCATGGGAACCCAGCCAGACCCTGCAGTAAGGGGGAATGGCCCAATCTGTGTTCAGGTGTGTACTTTGGAGTCCTTACATACCAGCCTCTCCCTCCTGCCAGCCTGTCCCAGAGGTGAACAACCGTGGTCCTGTGGAAAGAGAAGGGAGGGAACAGTCAGACTGGGTAGACCAGCAGGGTATCTGGGGAGGGCCTGTTCCAGCTTTGGACTGCAGAGACTTGAGCTAAGTCATGCCACAGCCCTCTCCTGGCACTCTCATCCTCTCAGCACTGGTGAAGGGAGGAAAGGATGAACAGGACAGGTCCTGCCTGCCATCTGCCCCCTGCCCTTACACGCCTGGCCCTGCACTGTGATGAGGGATTATTAGATTGCGAGCTCTCTGGAGCAGCCTGTGCTCTGGGGCACTGTGGTGCCCAGGCCTGAGGAGCCCTGGTCCCAGTCTGGGGTCCCAAGGCATTACCACAGTCAAATGACAAGGATTTTCTGAACGCTCCCTCTGGGAAGGGGCTCTGCTTGAAGCATGAGGCCCACAGTGTGGGCAGGGGGAAGCATCCTGGGTGCCCAGCAGTGCTTAGTGAGACAGGCAGGCCAAGCTGGGGGAATGGAGGGGATGTTTTAATACGAACCAGGGGAAAAGAACAGGTTGGAAAAGAGGATCTCACCTTTCTGGAACACAACCCTGGGATGTAGCCAGGCTGCTTGAAGCAGGCAAGACCCCTGGCATGAGTCCCTAACAGTCTGCTCCTGAGCCCCTCGCTCTGTGTTAGTTCAGAGCCCTGCTCTGTGCAGTTTCTCCTGCTTGCCACTGTGAGACCAGCATCTGCCCAAGAGGCACTGTGGGTCTGTCCCATGAGACTAGCTTGTCTCACCGTGGCCTGCCAGGCAGCTTCAAAACTCGGCTGCAGGGATTTCTGGTGTCTTGCTATGCGGGCCACATCCCACAGAGGAAAGAGCAAAGCTGGTTGAATGGAGAGGCACAAGCAGCTGGAGCCCTGAAGACAAGGGTGCAGCAGGGGTGTACAGAACAGGCTTCTAGAATTAGTCTGCCATACTCCAATTGACCAGCAGAAGGAAACAGCCTACTATTGCTGCCAGCAATGGGAGACACTCTTTTAGCATGAGTGATAGAGGCCTGGGCTTTGGTTCAGAGCCTGCTGCTGGCCTGTACTGGAGGTCACGCACAACCCCCGCTCCCCTGGCCACAAGTCCTCACCAATCTCCACATCCACATCCTTGCTCCACAACTCATGGAAGAGGTTGAACACTTTGCAGGAGTAGCAGCCTCTCTCTGCAGTTGTCACCAGCTTCACCTGCAGAGGGGAAGAGGAGGAAAGGTCCGTGCAGAAGACTCCCAGCACCTCGGCTCAGGTGCTTGTTGTGAAAGAGCCCAAGGAGTCCTGGCAAGCTGAAAGCTCAGGGACTAAATGCAGGGACTGGGACTTCTCAAGACTGAGCCAGCAGAGCTAAGGCAGGATGGCTGCTGGCTTGGCTTCTTACACTGCAATCCACCGCAGGGCTGAGGATCCTGATGCCCCATGAGACAGTCCCTGCAGCCTGTTATCAGTCCCCTACACAACCAGCACCATGACCTCTCCTTCCCAAAGCAGGTACCTGGAAGCAGGGGTCCCGCGCCCCCTCGATCACAATCCCATTTCGGAACCACTGGTACTGGGGTGGGGGGTTCCCAATGGCCATACACTGCAGCTGGAGGGTTTTCCCTTCGTCCAGGGTGCAGGGCTGGGGCTGCTGGACGATCTGCAAGCCCACCATGGTTGGGCAATAGCCGCTTGCTGGAGAGGATGCTGAGAACAAAGAGCATGTCATCTGGGTAAGTGCATAACTACATTGGCCTGCTGGACCAGGCCCTGGGGCAAGGGTGGTCTGTGTACCCTCTAAGGCAGCAGGTGGTCATCTTCCCCTTTAGTCCAGAGATGCAGCCAGTGGAGACTAGCAGGCACTGTGTACCAAGCTGGCAGTGTATCATGCCAGCTCTCCCAATTCCAGGCTGTCCCCAGCTCATCAAGCCTATACTCAAGAGTAGCCTGTCAAAGCCCTTTCAGTCCAAACAGCAATTGTCCCTAGAGGTTTTCATGGAAGCCTCCAAACACTTCACAAAGGAGAACAAAAGCAGAGGAGTGAATAGGAAATTCAGACCAAAACTCTGTTTGGGGATCACAAAGGTTCCTCAGGAAGAATTCAGCAAATAGGTTCAATTGGAAAAACTAAGAAAAAAGTTGTGACAGGTGAATGAGATGCTCCGATGTTCTTTCTGCAGTAGCACTTGGGTTTGAACCTGGCCTAGTATTAAAAACGGGCAAACCAACCCATTTCTGGCTGACTTGAGCTGGAATGGTGCTTTGCTTCTGGCATGGACACCACGAAGCTGCTCCTGGGAGATAATATGGTACTGCTGGAGTCAGTATCTCAACCCCCATTTTACAGATGGGGAAACTGAGGCACTGGGGTGGGAGAGGGGAGGGCATAAACATGCTCAAGGCTCATCTAGCAAGCTAGTGCAGAACTGAAAGTAGACCCTAAGTCTCTGGAGCCTTGGCTATACCCTCTGAACTAATCCCTGCTGTCCCATCAGTTTGAGAATGATCCCAGGAACATACTGATCCACCCAGGCTGTCAGGTGGGTTATGCATGGGCTGGGGTCACGGGCAGAGCTAGGGGTCAGGTTCACAGGTTGATGGAAATTTGGCATCTGGCAGGACTGCAGTCCAGGGCACAGATGGACCCACTGATCATGCAGACCTGTTGCAGGCACAGGCCTTCAGCCAGGATCCTGCAGGAGCTAGAGCCCAGGAGACTGTCCACCTCCAGGCTGCGGAAAGGTTTTGAAAAATCAACACATCCAAAATCAGGCCTCCCTTCCCCAGCTCAGCACAATGCAGGTGGGGTGGGGGGTTGGAGGGCTCTGCTGCTTCCCCTGCTGCTGCAAATATAGTTGGGACCACCTGAGGCTGGGCTGCTTCTTCTCTTGACCTGGACCCGGGCCCATTTGGAGAAGGAAAAGTTGGTCCCGCAGTTCACTCGGCAGATGTACCAGGCAGGCAGGGTCTGCAGGGTAGCTGGGTCTATCACCAGCTCAGGAAAGGTGGCACCAGGTACCTAAAAAAGACATGAAATACATTGTTCCACGTCTAAGGAGAGCAAAGAGAGAAGGGATGATTAAACCATGCACACTCCAGAACAACCACCTCCAGCCAGCTACCAGTGCCCACATCCAACAGGTAGCGCAGGCCCCTCAGCCATGGCTCAGCAGTCCTGCCCCAAACATACCCTGTCTGTGTGGAAAGCTGGAACGTGGCTGGAAGGGGCTGTGCTGCAAAGCTTCATGGCATAATAAGCATGTCAGATGGTTTGAGTGCTGCCAGGCACCAGCTAATCCCTTGGCTTTGGAGGGAGCTGGGGATGCTCAGCCCCTTCAGGTCTCAGGTTGTGCCCCCAACATTTGACTTGCCTGGTGCTTTGCCAGGAGTCAGAGGAAAAACCAGGATTCAAGTCCAGCTCCCAGCCATACTGCCCTTCCACAGGGCTCTGCTGCCCTCTGCCCTCAGCCTCCTCCCGCTCCGGGCTCTCACCTCGTGCTTCCCACAGAACCACTGGTAGCTGAGTCCAGGTGGCCCACTTGCCCGGCAGGACAAGGACACGCGAGTCCCTTCTGTAACCACCTGGGATTCTGGCTGCACCGTGATCCGGATGAATTCTTGGACTTCAAGAGAGGATGGATAAAACCCTGAGCTTCCTGGACCATCCCTTCTCACCCCACTGCATGCGTGAGTCACTCCTTGCTCCGAACGCTCCCACTGCCCTCTCCTTCCTGCTGTCCCTTTGTGGATTCCCAGTCTTTTATTCCGACCACTCCATCCCACTCCCATCCTGCAGCATGGGCTAGATAAAGCCCCAGATCACAGTCACCCTGCTTAAGCCATTGCATCACCCTCCCTGCAATCCAGAGTGTCAGTCTTCCTCTCTCCTGCCCAAACAACCACACTCTCCCAACCCAGTTGGCATTGCAACCCAGGAACCCTACCACCCGCTTTCCTGGACCAGCCGCTGAGCCCCACGCTCATCCTACAGTACAGATCCAAGCCAACCTCTTCCCAGTTCCAATCTCTACACCTCACTCTCACCCTAGAGCTGGGAATAAAACCCAGGAGTCGTGGCTTTCCTTCCCCAGTGCCCTCCCACAGGCCATACCAACACTGCTGACAAACTGGAAGGCCTCGGTGTGTCCCATCTTTTCTAAGCAGCAGAGCAGGTACTTAAGGGTGCAGTCTCGCTCAGACAGCAGCTGCAGGAGGTGCTGGCTGGGGCTCCCACGGGCCTCCAGGACCTTCAGGGAACATACTTCCAGCTCCTCCTCACTGAGAAACAACACAAACACAAAAGCACTATTAACCTCTTGGCCCTGGGGTAGATCCTGCTCCTCTATCTGCCCCGACTCCTCTGTCTGGGCACTGAAGAGAACATGGCCTGAGAGCCCGGAGACCTGGGGTCTAATCCTGGCTCTAGCTCTGTCCTGCTTTGTGAACTGCCCTGTCTCAGGGTCAGCAACACCATCCTGCCATGTGGGCTATAAGGGAGAAGGGCTTCAAGTTATGTTCTGGCTACACTGTCAGCCCTAACAGCCAGCCCCCTTCCTTCTTCCTCTATCAGAACCATTCACTGAATTTCTCCGCCTCTGAAGTTGGTCTTCAAAGCTCAACCCCTGGGGGCTGGAGGAGGGCACCGAATGGGTTTTCCACAAGATTGAGGTAGAGATAGGGCCCAAATCAAAATCCAGGATCTGGACAAGGGGCAACTTAGATCTGCACTTGGTAGTGTGGTCTGCTGTCTACAGGGTCCTTCTTTCCTGGAGGGATGCTTTGCCGTGACTCTGCAAAGTGCCAGGCACCATCTCAACAACCCACCAGCTCTCTGTTTTCAGGGAGCAACATGCAGGGAGATGGGATCAACACAGAGCTCACAATGAAGGGAGGGTTCGAATATAATGGGGCAGAGATCTTCCCACAAAACCTCACGGATGTCTGGCACAGCAAGTAGCTGGCAACAGCAGCAATGACTCTGCCCAAGGCAGGGCAAAGGGCCCATGGGAGCAGAATGCAGTCAGCTTCACTTTGAGCTCAGGAATGCAGGCCTCCCATGCACAGCTACAGGAAGAGCCCCAGAGCATCACGTGGTATGTTTGAGGGACATGTGAATCACTCCAGGCAGGGCTGGCCAGCATCCCACAGCCTTACACCAGAGAGCTGGGAGCCATACACCTGGACAGGTGCCCTGTGCACTGGGACATCTCCCCCTCCTCCACATACACAGGAGCCACAAGCACAAGCACCCCTGCCCACACCCAGAGAAGCAGTATGGATACACAAAAGCACAGCGTGCATCCACATGCTCAGGGACCCCCAGAGATAGGAGACACCAGCATGCATGCACAAGGACATGCCCTCCCCCACCCACAGAGCTCACATGGGGCCATTATGCACAGATGCACACTGCACACAGGCCTCACACATACGTGCACACAGGTGCCCCCTCCTGCACAGAAGGTCCCAGCCTCCCCCTTCACCCGCACCAGGGTGGGAAGACTATAATCAGGGAGCATCAGCTGGAGACTTTTGTTAAGACTCCAAATCAGGTAAGAGTCCTCCCCCCCTACTCTTGGCACCGCTTCCCTTCCCCTCTGTGCTCAGCTGCACATCCTCTGCCCACCACTGCCACTGTCCCCGCTTTCTCTGGTGGGAATGGTTGGGAGAAGGAGGAGAGCTCCAGAGCTGATCCTGATGGCTCCAGCTGGGCTGCACGGGGAGTAGGACTCACCCAGGGACAGCGACAGTAGCAGGTAGAAAGGGGTAGGATGGGAGGGGAGGGGAGGGGGCGGGATGGGTGGCTGAGCAGAGGGGAAAGGAGGGGGAGGATTCTTACCTGCTTCACAGACTTAAAAATGCCCCCACTTCTGCTTCAGCAGTGTGGTCTAAAAGCGGGGTACAACAGTGCCACTTCACCCCTTCTGGATCTACCCCCTGCACCCACATCACACACACACACAGATATGCTCGTGCACACCCAGTGCAAACCACCTGCTGGTAGCAGCACTGGGGTGTTGCCCACAGCGGTCCACCGCCTGACACCCATAATGTCCCCAGCTCTGCATCTACCTGAATTTGAAGTGTTTCTCCGCACCAGCGACTTCAGCCAGCTTTCGCCAGCCCCGGGTGGAGCTGTCCAGGAGCTCGGAGAGCCTGGCCAGGGCGGCTTCCCCCAGGGTGCTGAGTGGCACGCTCCAATCAGCCATTGGCCCTCCACGTCCCTTCTTTCTCTTTCAAGCCCTGAGCAACAGGCTGTGTTGGCTCCCCACTGCGCTCTGTGGCACAGTTCACAAACCACCATCTGCCTGGGCATTGAAAACACAGAGAGCATCTGTATTAGGGGGGGAAGCCGGTGGGTAGAGTTTGACCAATGGGGCAACGGCTTCTGGATAAATTTCTGCCTGAGCTCAGATTGCCAGATATCTCTGGGGAATAGCTCCTGCCTGTGACTCAGTGGTCTGACTCCCACGTGTTTCCAGGTGCAGGACCATAGAAGCACCTGGGCATAGCAGCAGGGGGAGTTAACCAAGGTTGCAACAAGCAGGAGATGCCAACAAAACAGCAGTGGGGGCTTGGGGGCCTATCCCACAGCTTCTTCTGAAGCACAACCTCCCACTCCAAAGGATCAAGCAGGAGGCAATGAAATAAACTGAAATTCTGGAGTTTCAAGCCCTTTTGATGCAAGGCCCAGGGCCCTGGGATAGGTGCCTCTGCTCTTTAGACAGGAGGGAAGTGGAAAAGCCAGCACTCTCTAGGTTCATGTGCATGAAGCAGGACATTGCTTCTCCACAATCCCTGTGACTGTAGCAGAAAGCCCCCTTTTCCTCTTGCCTGCAGTTGCTCTCCCCTCCTTGGATATGTTTTTCCTCTTCTACCTTTTCTTCCTTCCTCTTTCTTTCACTTTAAGATAAGAAATTGTGTTTTAAAGTTTGTATGTATGCATTTTGTATCTCCCCGTGTATGTTGGTATTTTTATCTATTTGTGTGCTACAGCATTTGTAGCTTATATTTTATACTCCTCACCTTTCAGCTATAAATGTGTTTAGTAACAATGTTAACAAGGGCAGGAGTCAAACTGCCACTTCCCTGTATCAGGCTGGCCCCTGAAAGAGCGAGTGAATCAGTGATTGAATGTGTAACACTGTAGTAGCAGACAGCAATTAACACCTAAGGAAACTGCAGATCAACAAAGGGAAGAACTCAATAGAAGACAGTGTAACAACCGGGAATTCTCTAAACATCACTGATCAAGGGCTAGAAACCCTGGTCTGAGTTAATCAACGCCGGGGACCAAACTTTGGGCTGAATATCTCCAGATCGACCGCTCCCAGAGCCCTATTCAAAATTCATCAACGGACTCCCAAACCTGCACGTACATGCGGACGACCTCTGGGGCTGACAGATGCCATCCAGTAGCCACCAAGGAGGGGAAGTCCCATGAGGGTCAACGACCCCTGGATTGGGCAAACCTGAAAACTGGGGAGTCACCAAAGTCTGCTAAGGACAGATAAAAAGCAGTGAAAAGTGACCCTCAGTGGCGCCCTCTTGATCTCCAACTCAACCAGACCTGTCCAGCCAGAAGGACCAGCCGGCAACCCCCTTCTGGAGGATACCACCACGCTGAAAGAAGCCTCGACTGGCCATCGACGGCAGACTCCAGCACTTGTAGGATAGGTATACCTGACTCTGTAGCCTGCTACTGTGTGTGTGTATGTGTGTGCATGTGTGCATGTGTGGGGACCAGCCCCAAGGTTTATGATTTAACTTCATTACAGTGCTTCAATCCGCCTAATAAACCAGAATTTTAAGGATCCCGAGTTGGACATTTGTAGCCAACATGACCATGTCCTGAGATGGTGGTTGGAATACCTTTGTGACTGAATACAGGTCGCAGGGTCATGCTGCTATTACCAAGTCCACAAAATGCTCCTGGAATTAGGCAGGAGTGTTCCCCTGGGAACAAGGCTGAAGGTGGGGGTTTGGCACAGAAGGGTGCACAGGGCTGTGCTCAGACACTGCAGGGTTCAGCTCTAGAAGAAAGTATCTGCCTGAAGGCCTTGCCTTGCTCTGGGTTCCCCCACCCAGGGGAGTCTCCATGCATGGAGGGCAGCTGGGGGAGGTACCAGTGCAGAGCTGATGTTACCGTCAAGCCTGTAGCAGGAGAGCCCTGCAGCCCAGCTAAGGCTTTCAGGCCAGTTTGACCGTGCCCAGTGAGCAAAGCAACACAGAGCAGATTGCATGATGCTCTGGTCCAAGCCAGCAGGAGCAGGTGGGTGCCTGGTTCTCTCTGGGCAAGAGCAGTCTGGCACAGGTCATCCTTGACTTCTGCTCAGTCCAGTGAGAGCCAGGTGTGTGACTGGGGCACGGTCTTGGAGTCTGTCTTTACAGTACAGTTATCTTGAATTATCTGTGCTTCTCAGCCACACGGAAGAAGCTGTATCTTCTCAAGCTGGTGCCACCCTCACTCACACATAGCACTAGCTGTCCTGGTCCTTTGTGGGCAGCAAGCTGAGCTGTGAGAGAAGTTGTCTGTCCTTTTGAACAGCTGAGAGGATGGGGAGAGGTTGAGGGAGGAAAGGAATTAAAAGGATCTGGGGGATTAGCAGCACTTGAATGGAGCTAGGCTGTGTCTATAGCGGTCCTGCCAGCATATGAGGAGTGTTTTGGGCACCCTGTCTGCTGCAGCTGAGTTGCTTAAAGTGCAGCAGCTCATGTACTTAGTTTTGGAGCTTCCCTGGTTCAGTTCCCCATGTGGTAGCCAAGAGGTCTCATCGCAGGAGCTCAGAGGCTGAGCTAACTGGGGCTTTCACCTGTGCCTCCAGGCCAGGCAGCTACATTCAAGTTAAGAGCTTGAGTATGGACACGATCCTGGTTAGGGGCAATACTCCAGCTAGCTCAGCAGTGAATGCCAGCCCTGGAGCTCTGCATGGCACCCATGACAGAATATAGGGGAAAGAGGGACTGCAGTGAATGTGGGAGAGCCTCCTACAGCCTGGAAAATAGGCAAGGGACTGGCCACAAGGGAGCTAGTGTTGGAGACAGTATTAGAACCCGCTCTCCGGGCCTGTGCCCAGACCATGGACTGCTTTGCCTCTGGTTGAACATGGGAACACTAAGCCTGCATGCCACAGGACTTGTTGCAGGGATGTCATGTATCTTGCTGCCACAGAAATGGGCCAGCGTCCAGGCTGCCATGGCAGCGATGCTGGCTCCCAGATGTCCCGTACGGAGCCATTTTGCAGGCACACCGTGTTCATCACTGCCCTGCAGGGGCTGGGCTCTGTACCGCAGAGACACAGAGAACCAGGCAATTCCCAAGGGATGAGGCTGACTGTCACAGGGGTGCCAAGAGCCTGGCCATTCCCAGGATGGTCATTGGAAGGGGGCTGGAGCCTTATCAGGGTGGCTACCTAACCTCCCTCATCCCTGGAGCCCCCTATTTTCTTCCACTCATGTTACTGGAGTCCCCAAAGGGAACTGCTCTGCCTCAGAGCTGGTGGGGGCTGATGAGCCATCTTTTCATTTCTCATCCCCTTGGTCAGGAGCACGTTAAGCGTGGGAGACAGCCAGGGCACAAAAGCAAGCCGTCTGGGGTAACAGCACAACTCTGCAGCAGGGTTGGGGACAGAACCCAGGTCCCACCTCCCCACCCAGAGCCTTAGCTACAAGCCTGCACTTTCTCCACCATTCAGCATGGCTGGCAATACCAGTAGCACACTGATGCCAAAGGGACTCGGAGGGGACTCAGCAGCAGGACGGGCTGAACCCTCGCAGGCACAGGCTGTTTGGGTTGGCAGAGGGGAGCTGCAGGGAGAGGATGTGAATGGAGGGACGTAGGGGGTGCATAAGGATGACAAAGAACAACGGAGCAGGGGAAGGAAGAGGAGGGTAGGCAAAGACATGGTCAATGGGATGCTGGAGCAGGACCTCCCAGGGACCAGCCAAGCCAGCATCTGCAGAGCAGACTCACCTCAGGAGGCAGCCGAAGCCTGGCAGTGGGGACACTGGGCCCTTCTGTCCCTGCCTAATCAGAGCCTGGAGTGAGTGGTGCTCATGGTGCCGCTCAGAGACCCCTACCTGGCGTCAGACTGTGGATCGCAGCTCAGCGAGTGCTGATCCCCACAGAGGAAATGAGGGTTAAAAACAAAAGCCGCCCCAGCACTGTAGAACGCAGCACTTCTCCTTTCCTGAGCAGCTTCCTGTGCTGCGGCTGCTGCAGCACGGCTGGGGTCAGACAGTGCGACACAAACACCTCTGTGTGGCACACGGGTGAGTCTGGCCCCAGCCCCACAGCTGCATCAGAGCCCTCACGTGGAAGCAGCTAAGGTACGAACCTCTGAGCTGACATGCCAAGCTCAGGGCTGCAACCCCCCTCCCCACCCTGAGCCTGAGCTAGAAGGGAGTGGAGCAACTCCTGGCTCGCAGTGACTGCTGGGGGCAGGACTTGCTCAGACCCCCTGGCCCAACTCTCATGGGTGCTTCTCTGCGAAGTCCAGCAATGCTGGGCAGGGAAAGCAAGTTTGGCTCTGCCCCTGCTTTGACACTCTCAAACTCACACAGGGGCCAGGTGACCTCGGATGCCACGAGCGGTGGGTAAACCCTGCTCAAGTGCTGCTCTTCTGCACCTTCAGCATCAACCCTCTTGTCTCTCTTGAAAGAGAACCAGGCCTACGCCCCTGAAATCAGAGCAATGCAAGGACAATTTCTCATTGAAAAAGGTCTTGAGAGGGCAAGAGATACAACTCAAACAGAGCTGTCCTGTGCGACTGAGCTGACAGGTGTTGGTCAAGTGCCGTGGAGATTTTGGGGACAGCCAAACAGGTGCTAGGCCTTACCTAGACCCTGGGACACCTGGCAGATGGCTCTTTGCCCTCCTCTTTTTTAAACTGTGAACAGGACAAGCAAGCACATTTCTCTCCCCAGTAATAGAGCCAGAGAAGCCAACCCAATATTGCAGGGCTCCTGAGTCAGAGCTGGAGAGAGAAGAGGAAGTGAGAGCATGGACAGAGGCGGAGGCAGAGATGGGTTGCATGTAAATCCCAAAGGGTTCATTCAGGTGGGGCTACAGTAGGGCCCTGCCAGGCAGATGCCTTCCTCCCCGTCACTAGTCACTGCTCAGCCCTCAAGGGAGTTTTACAAGCACCAGAATATTATGGGAAGCAAAGGGGCCTCCATCAGGCCCTTACCGAGTTGGCAGTGCAGCCCTGGCAGTCTCAGAGCATGGTGAGCCCTTGGATGTCTTCAGGGGTATGGACTCTGCCTGTAATGCTTACAAATGTGAACCCCAGCTCCCACTCTTTCTTGCAGTTTAAAAAATGAAATAGGTGCCAGAGAATTACTAAAGAGGCAGGGTGACAGCCAGAACAATGATCAGCAAAGCACAGCTCTTCTTGGAACCTGTGCTGCAAAACCTGAGCTTTCATTGGGATCGAGGTGAGGGATAGAGGGAGCAGGAGAAGAAAGCCTCTACCCCTGTAATTCTCAGCCACTGTGTTGCAGCATTAAGATCCTTTTAAGGGTGCCACACAATACTAGCACTGTTAGCTGTGCAAGCTCCTACACAATTCACAAGATAAACCCAAGAGATTCAGACAGGAATCCAGCGTCAAAAACAACCTGACCTGTTCTGGTCTTTCCAAGTTCTTTGCAGCAGCAGGCTGCTCTACTCTTTTCTGTAGCCCTAAGAGATGGCATTTGCCACATGGACCTCAAATGTAACAAGGTTGAGAACCACTGCTCTAGCCCATCAGACTGTGAAATAAATGTATACTCCTGCCCCATGTATGAGTGAGCCTCCAAGCCTGGAGAAGGACTAGGACAGCTCTCAGGGCCTATTTCAGTCCCTAGCCAAAGCAGAAAGAGGAAGTGCCATGTACAAAAACACTCCTGCAGTAATGCCAACTGTCACAAAACCATCGCAAGACTTGGGATTTCAAAGTCAAAATAACTCCAACTCATGATCTCCCAATCCCACCCTCAGATCTCTGCATTTTCCCAGCTGGTAAGTGGAGGGAGAGGGAAGGGGAAAGAGGGGAGGGGCAGTGGGGGACATAGATCAAAGCCCTCGCAGTGAGGGGGGGGGACTGGAGCAGAAGCAGGAGCAGGAGCAGGGATGAATGGGGCCCCAGGGCTGGGGGAGGAGGGGGAGGCAGAGGCAGGCTGCCTGCTGCAGGCTCTGCACCCTGCTGCCTTGCCCTGGGAGCTCAGCCGCGTGACCCGTGCGCCTCCTGCTGCTGGGCGGGCAGGGCATATGCCACATGGCCAGCATGCCCCACATCCCTTGCCCGCCTGGCAAGCGGGAATGGCATTGTGCGGCTGAGCTCCTGGGGCAAGGCAGAACACAGAGCGGGCAGCCCACCTCTGCCCTACAGGGGGCATATGCCCCCATGCCACCCCCGCGGGTGTATGCTGCTGCAGAGGGGCCCAGCGCCCTCCCCTGCACCTCTGGATAACCCGCCCAGTGCCCCATTTGCCCCTGCCCCACTCCCTCCCTCACCGTGGGGGCCTTGATCTGCCCCCCTCTCCACTCCTTTCCCTCCACCTACCAGCTGGGTGCTGTCTGTGTCTCTGTGTGCGTGTTTGCTCCTCATTCCCAAACCACAGCCTGCCGAGCCCTACTGCTGCTTCTCACTCCTGACCCACCGTACCCCGCATCCTACCAGGGTGTGTGGGGACCCCCCTTTCCAGGCTCCAACCCCTCCCCCACACACCCACAGCCCCCAACACCTTCACAAATAACACCCCCCCACACCTGCCCCTCTCCACACACTTCAAAACTAGCATCTCACAATTTATGTGCCAATCTCTTGATTTTTTTAAGAGCTCGTCTCATGATTTTTGGCACGGTGGGGTTGGCAATACTGCTCCTCTAACGAGGATCTCACTTCTGCACCAGGCAGCAGAGCGAGGTAACCGGGAGCACCACTGCTTGCACCTGCCACATTCACCATAGCCACGGAGAGAGCAGAGTGCTTGATTTCCATGCCCGTGACTACTGCATCATGAAGGGACCTGGATGCACGACAGAGAGAGCCCTGGTCCAACAGCCTGGATGGGTGGGAGGACAGAAAGGGCAGCATCATTCATCACACAAGAATGATTTATTGTCAGTATTTACAGGAAAAATAAGACGCAAGCTGGGGAAGAGGTCCCAGCTGCTCCTGTCTCCTGTCATTTAGGGCAAAGTCCAGTTCTTCTCCTGGAGCCCTGTGCATCCTCCTTCCCCGGCAGGAGGGCACCGAAGGAGTCTGCCACGCGGGCCCCCTCCCTAGAATTTCCTGTTCTTGCTCAGCTTGTTTCGGTGCCAGGTGTTCAGCTTCCGCAGCAGCCTCCAGTACTCGGGCGTCTCAGGGTCCAGCTCCTCCAGCTTCTTGGGCGGGCCGAGGTACATCTGGAACAGCCTGGGAGCCAAACAACGCGGGGTGGAGAGAGAACAGATTAGCACTGACCCAGCACCTGCCGGCTCCACCATGCCCCATGCCCGGCGTGACTTGGCAGCGCTGGGCAGTAATACCACTATTCTGGCCGCGGCGAGTGCCGGCCCGTTGCATGGCGCTCTCCCCGGCCGGCAGAAGGCCTAACCCCGGTCAGAGTCGGGGTCTGAGCCGCGAGCGCGCGCTCACGTGGAGCCGCGGCGACTACGTCCCCCCTTGCTGGCTCGGTCCCATCGGATCCGATACGTTTCCCGCGTCTGGGGACCGAACCGGTCGCCTACGCCACAGGGAGGGCAGCGTCCACGCGGCGCCCGCAGGAGGTCCCGGTGCCCACGGCCCAGGGACACGGCAGAGCCGACCAGGGGATGCTGGACCCGCTCCTGGTCCGGGCGCTGGCGGGAAGGGGCGCGGGGGCTGGCGCCAGTCGGGCCGGGCCACGCACCAGTCGGGGTAGTCCGCGTCGTCCTTCAGCGCTACGTCGGAGCCCTGCTTGTAGTAGTTGACGCCCACGGCGTGCTTGGCCAGCACCGCGGGCTCCGTGCACACCTCCGGGCCCTGCTGGGGCTCCTGCGCCTGCCCCTTCA